ACCCCTTTGGGTCAGTCCTGGGGATGGCAGGAGAGTTTGGGGAAACATAATTTACAGAATGTTTTTAAATGCATAAAACAAAATATATAGAATTACAAAGGAAATCAATTAAATGTCAAAGTATTATTGTATCAAATTATCTATCCAAATATTCTATGGACTCTCAGGTTTTTTTCAAAACCCCTTCCCCATTCCTGGAAAAGTCCAAGCAGGGACCAGATAGCTTCTGGTCAGGGACAAAGAGGAAGGGATTCACAGAACACAGGATTTTAACTCTAGGGCAGGAAGGAGCCTCAGGGTCATTTATTCTAATCCCATAGCTTTATAGCTCAGGAAATGGGAAAGGACCTGACCAAGGTCACTTAGGTTGTGAGCATCAGAGATGAAACTTGCTCAAGTCCTCTTACTCTCCAAAGCCAAGGTTCTTTCCACACTTACTACATTGCCTCTTAACTGAGACAACAATAAACAAACATTTCTATAGGGACTAGTTGCTTAATGAGCTCAAAGTCCCCCAGCAACACCTGAACATTCTTTTATTAAACCTCTGTTATATGTCTGACCTTTCACTAAGCAACTAGGTACAGGAGATACAAAGATGAAACACTATCTCCTCTCAGAGAGCTTATATAGCAGATATGAAGCAGATATAAAGTAAATGCAAAGTAATTTTTGGGAGAGAAATAAGTTTGGAAGGAAGCTAAGAGTTCTACCAATCTGTGTCTGTGGAGGGAATTTCCACACCTGGATGGCATTTTGAGCAATGAAATCATAGACTCGGACTCAGGTGTAAAGCCTCGTGACAAATAGGCTGCTGGAATCAGGAGACAACAGTAAACAGAGGCTATTGTGAAGGTGCTTATAGGCTCTATTGGACAAGATCTCTGGCTCCAGTTGACTCAAGCTTTTCTACAGCCCCCATAGATTCTATGCCACTCCCTCTAAGAAGCCTGGCCTGGTGCCAGCAATGTCTTAATCTGCCTCCTTTACCTTGAATGCCTGCCCAAGCAAGGTGGGGGGGGTGGGGCAGACTGGACACAATTCCTTTGGATCCTGCCTCCCTCTTGTAAAACTTCATTTCACCTCTTGGTCTAGGCTTTGGGGGTGTGAAGATCAGGCAGTGCGTTTATGTCTTCCCAAGATTTTTTGAAAGAGGGTTGGGGCAGGGGGAGAAAAGGATAAGAGATCCAAGTGAACTTTTATTCTAGGTAAGAGAAAGGAACTGGATAGGTTCCAAGGGCAAAAAATAACTCTCTCCGATTACCCAGCCCAGTCGGGCTGGGTTTTTAGCCTAGAGTGGGGGAGAAGCTGGGGTATGCCCTTTCCCAGAAGTACTCTGTTTAGACAATGTTTTGTTTGGGGAAAAAAAAGGAGGTGGGTGGGAGAGCATCAGCATAACCCAATGAAAAGTGCTCTGGATTTAGAGCTAGAGGATACAGGTTCCAGTCACAGCTGCATTAAATCCCTTAGGCTCTCCAGACCAGGAGTTCCACGGCCATCAGGTCCAAACCCCCCATAGAAGTCTTCAAAGGTTTCTTCCACCTACCAAGTTTCAAGTTCAAACTCCTTAGTTAGAGGCTGAAGGCCCTCCACCACAGGATCATGGACTCAGACTGGATAGTATCCTTAGGAGCTATCTGGCCCATTTTACAGATGTGGAAAGTGAGGTTCAGAAAGGTGAACTTGCCCAGAGTCAAGTTCTCAGCTCCCTACCTTTCCAGCCCTCTCTCATACTATTTTCCTACACATACTCCATTTTTCCAGCCAAACTGGAGTGTTCAACATCTCCCACCCCAATACATCCCCTACCCTTTCCCACTGCTTTGCCTTGGTTCATAACTGTTGCTACCCATCACCTGCCTTTTATATTTTGTATTCATTTTCTAAAATTCAACCCATATACTCTTTCTTCTAGTAAGTCTCCTCTAACAACCCTAATCAGTACTGACTAGGTAGTACAGTGGTTAGAGTGCTGGGCCTGGAGTCAGGAAGACTCATCAAATCTGTCCTCAGACACTTAACTAGCTGTGTGACCCTGGCCAAGTCACTTAACCTTGTTTGTCTCAGTTCCTCATCTATAAAAAGGAGCTGGAGAAGGAAATGGTCAACCGCTCCAATATCTCTACCAAGAGAACCCCAAATGGGGTCACAAAGAGTTGGACGTGACTGAACACACTCTATTTGCCCTTTTCTGACACGTCTGAGAAGACCAGAAGCCATGAGAGTAAGGATCTTGTTTCATATGAACCCTATCTTTCCCCCAGCCCTTAGCACAGGGCACACGATAATTCAATACTACACCGATCTGTAATGGTCAGTGTGGGTCTTACCTCCATTGATTCAGATTGTGATCTCTTTACTACTTGGGAAAGAGTTGCCATGTCTGAGAAATCCAGCATCCTGTTTCATACGCTACAAATCAATGCCCTCTTCTGTTCTTCACGTGTGTTGATGACTAAGTTCATATTTTTTAAATAATTAAAATGAAATTGACACTCTGGGGTCAACTTGATGGGGAATCTCTTGCAACTTAGGGGGCTTATCCTTGCATACAAGACTTAACAGCCTGAGTTGGTAGGTCTAGCTAGAGCTTGGGAACCGCTGGCAAAACCTTGGAAAACCAGAGTCACTGGCATACCACAATGAGGCATCTGAGGAGGGTTTTAGGGGAATAGTCTGGTTAGCAGGTTCTCAATGAAAGTCTGTTGCTGGACACATGGATCATTTGCATCTCAAGGTTCAAGACAGTTCTGGACCTGGGAGTGTCTCCAAAGGAATGAGTTCAATGTTGGTAAGCAGAGCTGTATTTATACTGTGTTTGGAGGAGGGGAGTCAGGTGAGTGGAATTTGGAGTCAATGGTCCTCCAGAGGGTCCCCGCCCTATCTGTCACTTAACTATCCAGGTCACTTTAGGCAAGTCACTTGATGTCTGGCCCTTTCCCCCTCTTCAGGGTAAGGTTGCAAGGGGTGTAGTGATCCAAGGCAGCTTACAACTCTAAATGCCTATGAAACTAGAATCAGTTAGAGACAATCAGGGTGCAGTAGTGCTGGACAAGGTGGGTTCTTGGCTAAGTCACTTGAACCCCGTGGACCTCAGTTTCCTGAATTACAAAATGAATGGATGGTTCTAAGTCTATGAACCTATGATAAGCAAGGGGCACCATGGAGGGGAGGGGGACAGGTGGATTTGTAGTGAGACCTGAGGTTAAATTCTAACATTTTCACTTTCTACTATGTGACCTTGGGTAAGTTTCTCGACCACCCTGAGCCTCCCCTTCCTGCTCTGTAACACGGGGGGCAGCCGGTGTGGGGCTTGTCTCTGATGATCTCTTAACCCACTGGCCTGCTACGAGGCACAAGCCACCACCAAGCTTGGGCAGCCTGTGCAGCTGTTGAAAATGTGTCTGGGGGAAGGAGGGACCCAAGCTAGCCTACTCACCCCTCAGCTTACCTTTGCTGTCGGGCTCGGCCTCTGTTCCCAGGTACCTCCCCCGGGACCGGGAGTCCACCATCTGGAAGCGCTTGGACTCTAGATTTTCCACCATCTGCTCATAGGTCTTGAGCAGGGACTTGTCGAGTGTGGCTTTGAAAACTGCGGGCTCGGGGTTCGTGGGTTCCGAGGTCACCGGGTGCCCTTCCAGCAGCCAGTTTCGGAAGCCCCCATTGAGCACCGACACGGTGCGGTGGCCAAAGACCCGGAACATCCACCAGGCTCGAGGACCGTAGAAACTGCCCAGATCGTCACCGTCGTACACCACCACGTGCGTGCTGTTGCCGATGCCCAGGCGACCCACGTAGCTGGCGAAGTCAGCCTCACTGGGTAGCATCATCTCGTAGGGAGACTGCTGGTCCCGGCACTCCTCGATGTTGAAGAAGGAGGCGCCCGGGATGTGGCGCTCCCGGTACTCCTGGAGTGCACTGCGCTGCCGAGGTGGGTACCAGGACACGTCGAGCACCCGCAGGCCGGGGCCCAGCTTCCGCGCGCGGACCGACTCAGCCAGCCACTTGGTGGACACCAGAGCCCGGTAGAGTACCTGTTGCTGTACCATTGCCACAGCCTAGCGCCTTCTGCCTAGAGGAGGGAGAAGCAGGGCACTGAGAGCTGGGAGATCTGGGGCTGGAAGATGAGGGAAGGTTGCCAGGGAGAGGGGCGGGGGGCGGGGGGAAAGGAGGCGGGGCCTGACGGGTTATCCCCTCACCCACTAGACCCAGGCTGGCCCCTGGGCGGAGGGAAGGTGGCTGCCTTGCTCGGGCTTGGCCCTCGACTTTATCCCAGGACAGACCCCTCCCACCTTAGCAACCAATCCCGGGAGGTTGCTGTGGGGCTTGGGGCCCCTTGAGAGTTGGGAGAGTTGAATTTGCCTTGGCTGTGACTGGCACTCTGTACATGCACGTGTGTATGTATGTATATGTGGGTTTTGTGTGTGGGTTTTGCCCCTCCTCCCCTCCCAGAGAAAGAGGAGGAAGGAGGAAAAGGAGGGGAGTAGTGACAGGGGCTAGGTAGCCCAGCTGAAGGGCTGGGGGAGGGGGAAAGTGATTTAAAGCAGGGAGTAAGTTAGTTACCAAGAGAAATCAGTAATAAGTTGAACCACATCCTGGGCTCTGGCCAAGGGAGAGCTGCAGCCAGCCCCGAACAAAAGCTCCTATGGGAAGCAGGCCCAGCTTCAGAAATAGCCCTCTCCCCAAAGCGTCCCCAATTGGAGGGGGAGCAGAGATCGTGGTATCTCTCCCTGATTCCTGCACCCCCTCCCGGCTAAATTTTTTTATAGGTAACCCGCCAGTTGGTGGGACCCACTTGGCCCTGACCTAGGCTCAAAGCTCCACTTTCCGGAAACCTCCAACCCAGAAACCCAATTAGCTAAGGCAGGAGGTGCCGGAAGGTGGGGGTGGGGGATTGGTGGGTGACCTTGGCCCCTGGACTGTGGCAGCCCCTTCCCTCTCTGCTCCTCCTCCCCCTTCTCTGCTCCTTTTCACTCCTCCCCCTCATTGGACCTCTGGAGAGGTGGTTGGGAGCTGTGGCCAGAGCCCTGGACCCGCACTGCGTGAACCTGACCTGGAAATTCTGCCTCGGCTGGCTCCTAGCTGTGTGACTTTGGGCAAGTCCCCTTCCCTCCACGGACCCCCATTTCCCGCCCTGTCCGAGGGAGGTGGTGTTGGGGGTGGGGGGTGTTATCCTCCAGGTGCCCAGGACCCACCCCATTTGTCTTTGAGCCAGCTCCCCTTTGTTTTCCTTTTTGCCCCAGTGGACCCCGGCCGGCAGACAAGTCAGTGCCTTCCTCCCCAATAGTCCCCTCGCCGGCCTGCCGCCTGCCACTCCCTCTCTCTCCTCGGTTCAATAAAGTTAGCCTGTTCAAAAAGGGACGCCCTAGTCTGGGCCCTGCCTCTGTCCCTCCCTCGCCGCTTGCCTGGCCCTTGGATCCCTCCTTCCTGCGCTCTGGGCCCAGCCCATTAGCGTCGCCGTCGCAGGGGAAGGGGCGGAGAAGCCGCCAGCGTGGGCCGGCCCCTACTTTGGTGAGTGAGGACGTGTGTGGGGTGGGTGCTGGGCCCCCGACTCTCTCTTCGGATCTCAGAGGTTCCTTATCCTCTCTCCCACCTTCCGTTACGGCCCCTGCCCCTGAGGATAGGACGCCTAGCCTGTACCCCTGTCCAAGGTGCCAAAACCCCCGCGCCTCTGACCCCTGAGCGATGGGAGCTCCCCGGGGCTCTGGCATTTCCCCAGGGCCACCAGCGGCGTGTAGGCTGGGAAAAGGAGCCGGGGGTGCTGGAGGGCAGGGTTACCTTCCCTACACTGACACAGCTAGCCATGGGGGGTAACCGGAAGCCCAGGAACGGAGCGCCGAAAGACCTCCTCGCCCATATACGTTACTGTTTTTGGGGGGCTAACTGGGTGCCCCTTGGGCTAAACTCGATCTAGAGTTCGTTCAGGGCTACTCTTACCCAGGGGTGAGAGGGGCAGCCATTCAGAGGTGCTGAGAGCTCTGACTCAGCAGGCAGAGGCCCTGGCCGGGTTTGCAAACTACTTCTGCTCAATTACTTGAGCTATGTGACCTTGGGCAAATCAGGTGACCGCTGAGGCTCATCTTTGCCTACTCTGTAAAATGGGAACCAGGTTAGATGCTCTCTAAGACATCTGGAGGTCGGAAAATCCTAGGATACTGGTAAACCCTTCTCAGCCCTCTACCCCACTGGGCCCCCTTTTTCAGCACCAGGAATTGGGACTCCCTCCCGAGGGAGGTTCGGCCAGTGGCTCCAAGCCACATAAGCCCTGGGACCCCTCCTGTGATAGCCAAAGAAAGATGCAAGCTTCAGGAGGTCAGAGTTTGGTTCCCGGATCTCCTCCCTGAGCCTCAGTTTCCTCATTTGTAGATTGCCTCTGAGGTCACTTCCACCTCTAAATCTTTGTGCCTACTGCTGCAGCAATGTAACCCTGGGCAACTCACTTCTTCTGGGCCTCTGTAAATTGGGGTGGTTGAGCTACCTTGCCGCTGGGGACCTTTTCAGCTCTAATTCTGGATTCTAAATCCATAGACTAACAGGATTGAGAGCTGGAAGAGAATTTAGAAATCATCCTACAGGGTTTGGAGTCAGAAGACCTGAGTTCAAATTATCATTGGTTCCTTACTATTCATGCACCCTGGGATGAGCCTCTTTCCGTTTCTTGCTTTCGATTTCCTTTTTGGAGTCAGCTTCTGGGATTTCAGTTCCAGACCACCTTGAAAGTTTCACTGCTCCTATCTACGGAAAAACAAACAAATAAACAAAAAAACAGCTCCTAGGTATGGGATGGTGGCTTTGAAATCCATGGCCCTGGGTTTCAGTTCTGGTTCTGAAACTCCCTTATTCCTTTACCTACTTTTTGAGAATATGGATACACCTGGGTGTGTAGGGGGTGTTGGCTAAGCTTAAGCTAACCTTTCCTGACCATCCTTAATAATGGAGCAGAAAGCAAAACCCAGACTTCCTGGGAACCCATCCAGGGAGGGACACTGAGCTGATCTAGGAGCTGTACATGGCCGAGGCAGCTCAGGTACCACCTTTTCCATGATTGTCCCCTCTCCCAAGAAACAACTTTGGATATCCTTTGTATGTGATTTGTATTTGGGCAGGCGGTGGAGGGGGGGGTGGTAGTACAGGGAGCATTCTGATCAGGAGGAGCTCCCTACACCAAAGAAATCATAGGCTTATTTTTTTTAAATTGTGTTTAATCCTCTGTATACATACATGTATGTATGTTTGCATATATGTGTATGTGTGTGCATGTGTATATGTACACATATGTACATATCCTCCTGGATGGCGTGTTAGCTCCTTCAGAGCAGGGCAGGGACTACCGCCATTTTGTTTAGTTGATTTTTTTGTTTGTTTTTTCTATCCCCATGGCTTAGCGTAGAATGGTGGACTCTGGTCAGCCAGAATTGAGTTTGAATCCTGCCTCAAACACTTATTCTGTGTAACTCTCGACAAATAACTTAATCTCTCTGAGCCTCAGTTTCTTCACCAGTGAAATGAAGATAATTGCACCTACCTCAGGGTTGTTGTGAGAGTCAAAGATGGTAAAGCACTATGTAAGTGTTATTGTAGTCACAAGACACAAGTGAAGTGACTGAGCCCTGGGTCACAGGAGGAATGAATAAACTGGGATTTGGGTGGAGGTCCGAGGAGCAGAAACAGAAGTCATCTGGTCAAAATCTCTCATTTTACACTGGGGAATCTGAGGCTCACACAGTTAAAGTGACTTAGTCTAGGTCACACAGATGTTAAGTGAAGGAGGCAGAATTTGAACCTGAGTCCAAAGTCAGTGAGTCGTCTTCCTCCAGATGTTCTTTCCCCCCTCCTTTTTTTTTTTAACAGACTTGTGGTTTCTTTGATGTAGAGAATCCTATCTGAGGAAACTTCCCTTCTACTAATTCAAATCTAGTCATTTCACCTCTTTTTTGCCTCAGTTTCCTCATCTGTAAAATGGGGATAATAATGGCACCTTCCTTCCAAGGGCTTTTTGTTGTGAGGATCAAGGGAGATTGTATTTGTAAAGTGCTTAGCACAGTGCCTGGCACATAGTAATTGCTGTAGAAATGTTAACTATTGTTATTATTGTCTATACTTGCTCAGCATCTTGTAGTCTTAGAAAATCACCTGGGAGCATGAAGAAAGGAAGTGATTTGCCCAGGGTCACCCAACCAGTATGAACCAGGTCTTCCTGACTCTTAGTCTGTACCTACTACACTATCTTCCTTTTCACCTGAAACAGTGTAAGCTTTTAACAGATTCTTGGGGAATTTGACTGAATTATGCTGAGAGGGTCATTGGAACTTAAAATATCAGCACTGGGAACAGCCTTAGCACTTAGACTGTCAGCGAGGGCAAGAACATTAGAATAGAAGATATCAGGATTAGAAACATAGACTTAATATGTCAGAATGAGGATGGGTCTTGGAAATTATTAAGATCATTTAGACCCCCTCATTTACAGAACTGGGAAACAGCCCTAGAGAGAAAGGATTTGCCCACAGTCACCCAGGTAGAGGGGGGGAGTGACAGGAGAGGAACTGGATTCCTTAGGGCATGTAATGGGCATTCAGGAGCACATGGGCAGGGCTGGTTCCCTTATGTGTTCAGTCTAGACGCTAATGGTCAATCTAGTCCTGTTTCTGCTAAGAAATTGCTACATAGCTTTGGGCAGGTCACTACCCTTCTCTGGCACTCTGAGTCTCTTTCATCATCAGATGTGCCAAGGAAATCATAGGGAGTGATGTCTCTAGTCTCAGGAACACCACTGCCCAGGGGATCACATCCACATCTCCTGCCATTACAACATACTGGGAGGGAAAGTGTCTGCATCTGCCTTCTTGCCTGCCTCTTCATGACATAGAACCAGTGTGGCCCATGGAATCCTGATTTCCCCAGATTGCCTGCTAGGGACATAGCACAGGGGGAAGAAGGTCGAATTTGGAATCAGCGCCTGGGTTCAGGTCCTGGCTCTGACGCTTCCTGTGAGACCTTGGGTGAATTACTTCGGCTCTCTGGGCCTCAGTTTCCTCATTTGTAAAATGAAAGGGTTGGACTAGATGATCCTTTGGAGTCAAGAGCTGTTATCTGCCCCAAGTAATATCGGTGTCCTGACTCCTTTGTCTGTGGGGAATGACAGTCTCTCTAATCTCTGTGACTGAGGCCAGGCTGGTGGGACAGGGTGACTTTGCTGAATCAGCACTCTGAGTTCACTGAAGCTGGTTATTTGCTGTGTAGTGTTTTTATTGGACTCTGACTGCCCCTCCCTCCTTTCCTCCTTCCTTTCATTCATTCTTCTCTCCCTCTCCCTTTGTTCTGCTCTCCCTGGCTCTTGATATCACAAGTTACAAATGGATTCTAGCCCTTTGTACGCTTAACCACCACCCTACCTACAATGACTCCCTAGTCACTCATTCTTCTCTTTCTTTTTACCTAGTCTAGAGTGTCCCAGGAGACCTCAAGTCAGACAGAAGCTGGCCAAAAGCCAGGCATCATGGCCACACGATCCCTTTTTAGAGCTCTGGTATCAGCCAAGTGGGTAGCTAAGTCCTTGAAGGAGTCCCAGCCCCTGAAGCTGCTGGACGCTTCATGGCACCTGCCGACGTTGAAACGAGAGCCTCGGCAGGAGTTTGAAGAAGGTCACATCCCTGGAGCAGCCTTCTTCAACATCGACCTCTGCAGCGACCGGACATCCCCCTATAACCACATGCTGCCCGATGCTGCAGAGTTTGCTGAGTATGTTGGCAAGCTGGGAGTAGGGAATGGCACCCACGTGGTGGTGTACGATGCCAGTGATCAGGGCTCCTTCTCCGCCCCCCGACTATGGTGGATGTTTAGGGCCTTTGGGCATGAGACTGTCTCACTGCTGGATGGAGGATTAAAGAACTGGAAGAGGGAGGGCTATCCGCTGAGCTCTGGCAGGGCCCGCCCAATTCAAGCAGAGTTCCAGGCCACCCTAAATGCAATGTTTGTGAAGACCTATGAAGACATCAAAGACAACATTGAATCACGCCAGTTCCAGGTTGTAGATGCCCGTGTTGAAGGGCGCTTCAGGGGCATTGAGCCAGAAACCCAAGAAGGTAATATAGCTAGAGCACTGTCTATGGCCAGGTATAGCTGAGGGAGGTGGCAGAAAGATCACACAGTATTTGCAGTCAAAGGACCTACGGTCAAATCTCAGCTCTTTTTGCTACTTGGGTGATCATACCCAACTCACTTCTATCTGCTCTTCAGTTTTCTCCTCTGTAAAATGAGGGGGAGGGGGGGGAGGGTTTGGACCAGGATCCCAAGTTTAGAGCTGAAAAGGCCCTTAGAGGCCACTAGTCCAATCCCCTTGTCTTATAGTAGAGGAACCTGAAGCCCATGGGGTTCAAGTGACTTGGCCAAGGTCACACAAGGCAGTAAAGAGGAAAAACTAGGATTTGAATCCAGATATTTTGACTCCAAACCCTATTACTCTTTCCACAGTAGCACATGATTATCTTGGAGGATTTCCAAGAGTCCTTTTTCTATTCCAAATCCCACAGTCAAAATAAACCATAAAATCATGGCTCTGAAGCTTGAAGGGATCTCAGAGCAAATCCAGCCCTGACATTTTACAGATGAGAAAACTGAGGCCATCCATGCCAACCCTCCATTTTATCAATAGAAGCTCTGAGCCCAAGTACCTATGGACAATCCCATTTGCCATCAAGTATTGTCCCAGTTGGGCTCCAACCAGACATCCCCCTGCCACCAATTCATCTTCTCCTTCACAAATAAGGTAGCTCATGTAAAGTGATTTGCAAGCCTTCAAGTACCATAGACATGCTAGCTGGGGTGGTGGAGAGCTCTTAACATGGGCCAGGACAGCAGTGATGAGAGGTGTGTTTGCTGCTGAACACACGGATTGGGTGAGAACAGGGTGATGGCTCACTGTCTTATTTTCATGGCCTGTGGTTTGCCCAGTGCTCCCTGTTGGAACCTCCAGTTGTCCAACTGGAGCTGGAGTGTCCAGAGAGACATGGGACCGAGGGAAACTGGGGGTCAGTGTGACATAGTGATAGCAACAGTGATAGTAATGAGAATGGCCCTCATTTCTCTAGCTTTATATCCATAGGCTCGTTTGAGTCTCACAGCAACCCCATAGGGAAGGGGCTATTTATTGTCCCCATTTTACAGATGGGAAAACTGAGGCTTGGAGGGGTGATAAGATTTGTCCAAAGTCACTCAAGTTGTAAGTTGTTCAGTCATGTTTGACTCTCTGTGACCCCTTTTGCGATTTTCTTGGCAAACACACTGAAATGGTTTGCCATTTCTTGCTCCAGCTCATTTTACAGATGAGGAACTGAGGCAAAACAGGGTGAAGTGACTTGCCCAGGGTCACACAGCTAATAAGTGTCTGAGGTCAGATTTGAACTCAGGAAAATGAGTCTTCCTGACTCCGGGCTAGGTGCTTTATGCACTGTGCCACCTAGCTGCTCAGGTTTTAAGAAGCTGACCCAAAACTCTTCCTGATATGTCTTAGCTTCACTTGCCTTGAGCCACTATGAGCTATAGTTTTCTTATCTGTAAAGTTGGGATGAAAGAATAGCTGACCTATTCTGTGCCAGGCACTAGTCTAAGAACCTGGGAGATATAAACAGCTGCTGCCCTCAAGATACTTCTATTCTGAAAGGGGGAGTCATCACCTAGAGGGCAGTGATGTCCAAGGAGGAGAGCCTGGGTCCAAGGAGTCCCTGGAATGGGGAGTGGAGTTGTCCTCATGCCTTCTATACCTTATTAACCCCCAATATGAGATGTCTTTGGTATCCGGGTTGGTCCTCAGATGGCAAGTGCACACCATGTGGCCCCTACTTTTGGATTGTGCCTGTGTAGCACTAGCAGAGCCTTCTGGAGTCATAGTCACCTGTATGCCTAGGAGAAGGCCTTCAGCGGGGATGACTACAGACAATGAAGTTCTGCCAGATCTTTAAATTCCATAAGTGTGAGAACCCCTTGGAGTCTTCTTTCTGGCCTAGAGCTTAGGCTGGATGGACCAGATACTTGGCACACCTCCACTCAAGGCCTGGAGTATTGTCTTGGTTCCTATGTCCTCCATTTCTGTGGATCACAGACCCCCTCAGGTAGCACTACATTCTGTAGGTTATTTAAACCTTTGAGGATATTTAATTAATGTTTCCTCATCTAAATTCAAGGTAACAATTGTGTGCCAATAATAATTACAGAATCTCAGTGTTGAGGAAGGAAGGAAGGAGGAGGGAAGAAGGGAGAGAAGAAATAAGGAAAAGAGGAAGGAAACATTCCTTAAGGCCTACCTACTATGTGTCACGTACCACACAAGCCCCTTTACAAATATTGTCTCATTTGATCGTCACAACAACTCTGAAAGGGAGGTGCTATTATTTCCCCCATTTCACCAGTGAGAATACTGAGGGAGAGAAGGATCAAGTGACTTGCCTAGGGTCACGTAACTAATAATTCTGAGATTTGAACCCTAGTCTTCCCAACTCCAGACCCAGCCCTCTATCCATTAAGCCAATCTAACCCACACCTGTATGAGAATTCTCTCTACAATTTACCCAATGAGTCAAGTAGAGGTGAAGCCTATCCTTGAAGACTTCCAAAGATGGGGAGTCCACTATCTTCCAGAATAATCTATATGGTAGAGTCCTAGGGTTGTAAGGGCCCTCAGGGGCCATGGATTCCAAATGTGGCATAGAGGGGTGATGGGACTTGCCCAGGGTCACACTACAACATCTGAGGCAGGATTCAGATTCAGGTCTTCCTGACTCCCTGTCCCCTGCTCTCAACACTGTACCACCTGGCTAAGAGGCTTCTTGTCTTGGAATCAGGAATACCTGAATTCAGGTCCTGCTTTAGACACCTTGGCCAAGTCATTTTGCCTTTGCTTGCCTCAGTTTCCTCATCTATAATAATATTAATAAATAAGAATAACAATTATAGTGCCTCCCTTGTCATAAGTTTTAAGTGAATTAAATAAACATAAAGGGTCCTGTAAACTCTAAAGCCCTATGTGATTAGTTGTTAGCTATTTATTATTGATTCATTAAGTTATTGTTTACTTAATTTATAACATTAATGATTATAGTCAAGCTAACAATTATTTCTCTGTGCCAAGTACTGTACTAAACACTAGGGACACAAGAGTCACAGTCATTTCATTCGCACTTTACTAAATGCTGATTCAGCCTCTCAACCACTCTGTGAGGTGGATAATTTGTAAATATTATCCTCATTTTGTGGAGTAGGGAAATGAGGATCAGAAAAGGGAAGGCCAGAGGACCAGGTCCAAGACTCCAGGCACTCTCTGACTGCCAGGTTAATTACTCTGCCCACATTCCACTCAGCAAGCAGACCACGGGGCAATATCTCCTCTGGGCCATCAAGGTCTTTAAGCAAATGGATGTTTGAATGGCTGCAGGTCAGAGGCATTGGAGCTAGGGTTGCTGCTTCAGCTCCAGGTGATGTGGAGGACCACTGAAGCCTCTTCCAGCTCTGTAATTCTTTGTGTGGTCTGTCTTATACTAGTCCCATGATCCCTTACCAGCTAGTCAGTCCTTCAATCTTTGGTGAAAGCTGCTGGCTCCTTGGTGCCCCCACCTGAACCCTGCTCCCTCTTTAGGCACTCTGGTCTAGTGAAAAGTATCCCAGGAATTTTCAGTCAGAGAACTGGGTGGATCTGACACCTACCACCTATAGGAATTTAGCAAAGGCCCTCCTGTTCTCCAACAATGAACGGAGGTAGGGTTGATAAAATGGTATCTAAAGTCCCTTCCCACCCTTAATCCTCAGACCTTGTCCACTCAAAGCCTGTTTGCTCCTCTCCCAGGCCGTGTTCTTTATTTTTCCCCCCATTTAAAAAAAATATTTTGTGAAATATTTCTCAATTACATATAAATTTTTTTTTTTTGGTGAGGCAGTTTGGGTTAAATGACTTGCCTAGGGTCACACAGCTAGTAAGCATCATGTGTCTGAGGTCATATTTGAACTTGGGTCTTCCTGACTCCAGGGACGGTGCTCTATCCACTGCACCACCTAGTTGCCCCTCCACATAAAAATTTTTAACAATATTTTTTTTTTAATTTGAGTTCCAAATTCTCTCCCTCCCTCCTGCCCCACCCCCCTCTTTGAGAAGGCAAGCAATTTAATTTTGTTTGTACTTGTAAGGTCTTGCAAAACACATTTCCATGTTAGCCATGTTGCAAAAGAAAACATAAGCGAAATAAAACAATAAAGATAAAGAAATTTTAAAAAATATTCCTTTATCTACATTCAGAGTTCATCAATTTTTCCTCTGGAAGTGGATAGCATTTCTCATCATAGGTCCTTTGGAATTGCCTTGGGTCATTGTTTTGATCAGAGTAGCTGAGTCATTCACAATTGATCACTGTTACAATGTTGCTGTTACTGCATATAATGTTCTCCTGGTTCTGCTCCCTTCATTTTGCATCAGTTCAGCTAAATCTTCCCAGATTTCTGAGAGCATCTTGCTCATCATTTCTTACAGCACAATAGTATTCCTTCACAATCTCCCTTCAGACTTTATTTTAGGATCCAGAATTAGAGCTAGAAGGTTCCTTGGTCCCTTTGTCTCCTTCACAGGGCAGGCAATGTGGAAAGACTACTAGCTTTTGGAGTCAGAGGACCTGAGTTCAAAACCTTCAATTATTTTCTCTGTGACTCTGCAGAAGTCACTTACCTTCCCCAGACCTCTTTTTTTTTTCACATCCATAAAAGAAGGGTTGGATTAAAGAGTCTCAGATCTTTTTCCAGTTCTTGATGTATTGTCCCTATGACCTGTGTGACCTTAGGCTAGTCAATCACTATCCTGGGCCTTTGTTTCTTTATCTAGAAAATGAACTGGCTGGATTAAATGACCACTGAAATCCCTTCCAGCTCTAGATTTATGATTTTATAATCCCGACCACCTCATTTTACAGATTTAGAAACTGAGGCCCAGAATGGGAGTGGTCAGTCAGTCAATCAGTAACCATTTATTAAGTGCCTACTATGTGCCAGGCACTGTGCTAAGCATTGAGGCATAAGTAGTTAGCTGCAAAGCCGGAATTCCAACCCAGCTCCTCTGACTTTCCCCATCCTCTCACTCCTGCTACTTCCTACCTCACACTGAATGTTTCTTTTCCTCCTTTAGGCATTGAACCTGGCCACATTCCTGGCACCTTGAACATCCCTTTCACCGACTTTCTGACTGAGGAGGGCCTGGAGAAGAGCGCTGATGCCATCCAAAGACTATTCCAAGAGAAGAAGGTGGACCTCTCCAAGCCCCTGGTAGCAACTTCTGGCTCAGGTGTCTCTGCCTGCCACGTAGCCCTGGGTGCATATCTCTGTGGCAAGCCTGATGTAGCCATCTATGATGGAGCCTGGGTGGAGTGGTACATGCGTGCCCGGCCTGAGGATGTCATCTCAGAGGGCAGAGGCAAGACCCTCTGAGGCAGGGGCAGGCAGGGAACTTCCCTGCTCCCAGGCCACCAGCCTTTACCACCCCAGGATAGGGGGTGGCCCAACCTAACAATTTTTCCTAAGTCTTTTTTAAATACAGTGGCCAAATTTATTATTTTTTTTAATTCTCAGGGTATGGCCTGGATGGCACATCCCACCCCTCCCTTCCCTGTGGGAGGCCCTTGGAATATTCTGATTCTGAGACAAATGTTATCTGTTGAAAGTGAGGGGAGGGCATGGAGGACACCTTTGGCAATGGTGAAGAGATCTGTTGGGATTGATTGAAGTGGAGAATGGGAGGAAAAGAGGGGCCTGCTGAGCCCCAAATATAGCCCTCTGTAATTTAGCCTGTGCTGATTGCCAGACCTACCTCCTATTATCTTTTACTGTTAATAAATGTGAAGTGTTTAATCTTTCTATACAGCCACCTCTTTCCTCCTGTTTGAAACCAATCTCTGAAAACCATAGTGGGTGAAGCACTGTGGGTGTGGACAAAGGGTATCTCTCTTCGAGGGCTTCAGGAGAAGCCATTCTCCTGATGGGCTTCTTAAATTAAAGGGTCAGGGAAATTGTCCCTGAATGAATGAATGAAAAAGTATTCATTAAACCCTTACAAGCATTGAACTAAATATTGGAGATAACAAACTGCAGCCATACATCCTGGTGGGCCAATTCCAATCCCTTGGGGGAGGGCAGTTTTCTAGAATAAAAGAATTACCATTCTCCTCTCAAACCATGAAGATGGTGAGGGGTGGGGGGAGTTGAGTGTTGTTCAGGACTGAGAGTCAGAAGCTTTGAGTTTGAGTTCCCTCTGAGATCTTAAGTTTTATAGAAGAAAAACATGGGAGGTGAGTGGGGGGGGGTGGAATACAAAAGATAAGTTTTAAGTTGAGAATTGGGGTTTAGTCCTCACTTCCCCAGGTCACAGCCCCAGGGTTGCCCCCTTCTTGTGTCCTTAAGCAAACCACTTTGCATCCATTTCCTCATCTGCCAGACAAGGATAAATATACTAGCAGTACCTAACTCATGTCATTCACAAGATCTTAGATGCAGATCTGGAAGGGACCTCAGAGGTCATCAAAACCAATCCTTCTCATTTTCCAGGAGAGATATTGTGGTGTCGGGAGGTTTAGTGATTTTCCCAGGGTTTCAGAGCTAGTAAGTGAATGGGGTAAGATAGAAACCCAAATCTTCATAGGTGACTTCTTTTTTCATCATAAAAATAAACATTTAGAAATCCTTTAAAATCCTATAGAAATGCAATAAGCGATGGGGATGGATGGCAAATTGTTAAGACCTGTTGAAGGCTGCAGATCCAGAAATGGTCCATAAATCTTTGAACTTATGGGCTCTGAGGCTTCTTATTCTTAAGCCTTAGGATAAAACTCAAGCCTTTGCACCTTTCTGATCTGATCAGTTTTCTAGGCAGCAATTTCTACTAGGAACCAGTCCAAAGCACCTGTTTTGCCTCTGGCCAGTGGGCTTTCATCTTCGCTTTATCTTCTGTGAGTCTCTTGACCTTCCAGGGCTGGTCTGACTCCCTTGCTTCAGAAACCTGTCCCTTGCCCCACCCCTGCCAATGGATCCCTAGCTTTCTTTATCCTGGGGGGTATGCTGGAATCAGTTCTAACCAGTTCTGGGCTTTTGATTATTAGATTTTTCAGTGCAAGCGTTTATACCTCAGAAATTGGCAATCACTACAAGTCAGGGCTTAAGTTTGTTGTTTTGTTGATTTCCTCAACTTAAATGTTAACAGTGCACATTAAACTTAATAGTGCATGCTGCATGCATTTCTTCCCTTGCTTCAGCCTGGTTGTTAAACATTTACTAGCATATGCCAGTACTGCTTGATAAACTTTGCTTGAGCTCTGTAGGAATGCAGTGGAAGGTTCAGGGAATGAAGTCAGAACCATATTAGAAGCCAGGTGACTAGAGAGTAATAATAATAATAACAATAACAATAACTGGTAGTGCTTTAGGGTTTGCAAAGTGCTTTACAAATATTAACTCATTTGAGCCTCACAACACTTCTGAGTTACTGGGGATGGCTCTGATGAGGATGGGAACTAGACCCCAAAAAGGAAAAACCCTGGACTTTCTCACATGGCCAAATCTCTGAGGTTTGCCTGAGGCTATAATCTCATCAACTGGCCTTTCATTGTGGCTACACCCAATGTCCCAATTCTGTTACCCTTATCTAGTCTAGCCCTCCATCATTTTACCTCCCTATGACCCCCGGCCCATTTCCCACCCTTAATCCTAGATAGGATCCATTCTCCCTTGGCCACGTGGTCCAGGTCCTAAGAGTTCTGTTCACCCCACCTTACTGGCCACTCTCATCCAGATCCTCCTTAGATCCCTCCTCCAGTCACCCCAAACTACCTGGCCACTCCGAGATCCCTCCCATAATCTTTGTGTATATAAGGTTCATCTTGTCTCCATTAAGGTGCTCAAATTCTTGTAATCTAGCCAATAGCCTACTAATGTTCAGACTCCTTAAGAGTCTGCCCAATTTGATGGATGTTCTAACAAACCTTGCCTTTGGCTAAAAGAAGACTTGGGTCAAATTCTTTCAGGCAGGACCTGTGTGTTATGAATTTGGGGTCCCAGTACCCCTAGACCTCTAGACCTCATCAGCTCCTTGGGCAGTGAAGAGTCAAACAATATTATCAATAGAATTAGATTATGAAGAAGAAGAAATGGGCTCTTCAGTAGTTGGGTGGGTTAGCAGTAGAAGGGCAATAGGAGAGCAGAAACACTTTGGTTAAAGATGAGCCTCTCCTGATAGAATGTAAGGTCCCTGAGGGGAAAGGCTGCTCCATTGTATGTGTGTGTGTGTGTGTGTGTGTGTGTGTGTGTGTGTGTGTCCCTAGCATGTGGCACAGTATGTAGTACATAGTAAGCACTTTATAAATGCTTGTTGATTGACTGATTAAATAGAATATAGTCTCCCGACACCAGGAAATAATTCCCACTTAAGGTTTATGAAATACTTTTCTATATAACCCTTCTAGGGAAGAAACACCAGTCTATTATCTATATTTTGCAGCTGAGGAAGCTGAGGCTGGGAGTGGGGAGGGAGTAGCCCAGGGTCCAGGACTTGAACCTGTTTTTCCTGACTAGTTCCAGAATTCTTTCCAATATACTGTGCTCCCTCTAATTGTTCTGAGCTTACAAGATCTGGGCCTTGGAGAGGTGAAATAGAGCAGCCCTGGGGCCATGGAGGAGTCAGCTGGAGTAGGGCCAGGGGGACCAGCTTGGAGGAGAGATGAGGGATAAACCCGGACTCTCCATTTATTTGTGGCGTTTCCCACCTCTCCTCTTTCATTCTTTATTTCCTGCCTCTCCTCTCCTTTTCTGTCCTAGAAATACCTTGGAAAACGATTTCACCAATACTTCTCAACTGCCCTTCCCACGGTTCTTCAGTGTGGGTCCCATGGGATAAGTCCACACCCATTCATACACCCCAGGTATTCCACGTTCCATTTAGATCTTTGGGAACCTGAAATTCTACTTGAATCTTTGTTGTCTTCCCCACTGACAACATACTCCTTCAATATAACCTAAAAGGAAAAATTTTCAAAAAATTCAACCTGCCCCTGAGTGGAATGGACATTAGTAGGTTGTTCAGGCTGTGTGACTCTGTTTGGGGTTTTCTCAGCAAAGATACTGGAGCGGTTTGCTATTTCCTTCTGAGGAAACTGAGTCAAACAGGTTTAAGTGGCTTGCCCATGGTGTGTGTGTGTGTGTGTATGTGTGTGTGTGTGTGTGTGTGTGTGTGTGTGTGTGTGTGTGTGTGTTCATTCAGGCTGTCTCCAAATCAAGTAAAGGCATTTATTCCACATAACATACCGGGCAGGGTCCCTAGCCTGGTGAAGCTAGGGATTCTTATAAAGGAAAAGTGCTTGGGCAGACAGCTGAGGTAATCGGGGATATGCAGGCAAGGGGCAATATCTTAGAGTTTTGATTCCATCCTCCAGCCCATTTGCTCAGCGGAGAGGAGCCCCTGTCACTTTCATTATTTCATTGACCAGCCTATTTGAATCTCATCTTCTCCGGAAAGGCTTCAGCTAATCTCATCAACTGGAAGATAGAAATAGGGATTGTAGCTAGGTGGCAAGGTGGATAGAACACTGAATCTAGAGTCAGGAAGTCCTGAGTTCAAATTTGACTGGAGATATTTTCTAGCTGAGTGACACTGGGCAAATCACTTAGTTGCTGTCTGCCTCCATTTCCTCAACTATTAAATGAGGATAATAATAGCACCTACTTTCCAGGGTTGTTGTGAGGACCAAATGAGGTAATAACTTGTAAAGTGTAATGCTTGGCACATAGTAGGTGATTAATAAGTACTCATGTTTCTTCCCCCTACTTCCTCCCCATTTGATATCAACTATATAAAAATTCCTGGATAAAGAAACTCCCCCTACCAACGCAGGTGGACACCTCTGTAATTTGTAATTTTCAGTTTCCTTTGAGAAGACAGTGACTTGCCCAGGGTTACACAGCCAGTATTTGTGAGATCAAATCTTGAACCCAGCTTTTCTGACCCTAAGGCCAGCCCTCGATGTCTAAAGTCATGCTGCCTCTCTGTAATTGGGACCACCTACAAACATTCCCAGTTTTCTCCCATCCTTAAGACAGTTTTCTCTGCCACCCCCTCAAGTTATCATCCCATGTCTCTCTTCGCTTTCACAGGCAATCTCCTTCTAAAAGTCCTCTTAACTGCTCAGTCTCTACCTCCCCACTTCCCACGCTCTCCTTAGCTAAGCTGCCTAACAATCTGGCCTCTGGCCCCACCAGTCAACAACCACTACCTGTCTCCAAAGTGGATATCATTCTCTTACCTGGCAAAGCCAGTGGCCCTTTTCTTAGCCGTCATCCTCCTTGACCTCTCTGTAGCTTCTCACATTGTTGCCGGCTGGATGCTCTCCAGCATGGTATATATAAAATTTTTTAAATAATTGGCTGTGAAGGCAGAGGAATGGAGTTCATGGCATGGCACTTACTACCTTAAGCAAGTCACTTATCCTCCCTCTCTGGGTCTCAGTTTCTTCGTATATAAAATCAAGGGGTTAACCTAGCTGTCCTCTAAAGTCTCTTTTGGCCCTTCAGCAGGTCTGGGATCCCTTTGATCTTTCCTTGGTTCTGGTGATATTATTATGTCTTGTTTTACCTCTTATAGGTTTCATGGATTTATTCATTCTTCATCCTCTTCCTGACCCCTTATCATGAGTGTTCTTTCTTGGGCTCTCTGCATTCTCTCATTCTCTCTCCTAATCTAATATATGACCTATGCCTGTGAGCCTATGAGCTCAGGGATAAATAGATGACATGACATGATATAGTATGGTATGTTATGATATGATATAGTATGTCATGGTATGGTATGGTATATATGAGTATACACAAAATAAATTCAA